AAAATAGAAAATATTATAATATTTATGTTCTATTTATAATTTATTAGAAAATATGTTTTAAAATAAATTATCATTTTAAAATTTATATTAGATATTAAAAATATATTTATATCATAAATAAATTAAGCTTAATTTTTATACAATTTAATATATTTAGTTTTATGTTTTTATTAATATTAAATTATTATAAAGTAGGTTTAAGGATTGTAATTCTAACTAAACATTTGAAAAATATCTATGACAGATAAATAAGTCATATTTAAAACATGTATTTTTAAAAAAAGTTAGGTTCAAACCTTATTAAATTATAATATAACCTAATTTGACCTAATTTATTTTCATCATTAATCGTAATCGTAGATATAAAAACTTATAAAAAAAATAATTATGATATATTTTTATACTTTTAAAAGTTATATGTAAAATTTTTAATATTACAAATATATGAATAAATATTGCCCCCACTATTTAAAATTTTTGGATCCGTCACTGTTTGGAAGTAGGAAATTATTTTGTAATTAATGTGCAAGTGTAAAAGAAAAATAAAGAGTTTTTTTTATTGGTTTATGTCACCGTCAAATAACTTATAAATGTATATTGTATGAACCAAATTCATAATTTTTTATTGGTTTATGTTGATGATTTAACGACTAATTAATTTTAATTTTGACTATAAATGTACATTGTATGAACCAAATTCATAATTTTTATTTTTCATGACAAGAAGAGTTTTACTTGATATGTCACTATACGTAAAAATGTGTTAGAGGAAAGATGTACAATCAAAATGAGAATTATTGTTTTTGTGAGAAATAAGGATAATTAATGAAATGTTAGATTTTATTTAAAGATTATATTTTATATATATAGGACTAAGACCCAAAGATTGTCCTCATCCTATTCAGAGCATATGACAGTTCATGATCTGATGTGTCCAAGAACCAAAACTAGGGATTCAGTTCTAATTCATCATTCATGCTTTGAGGTCCCAACAAGTGTCGGAGAAGATCTTGGCTGTAGCTCTCTTTGATTCATCTTATGTAGATCAGCAGCTATGGAATCACAATCATAAGGCCTCTATTTGGTCAAATCCGGATATAAGTTGTTTTTGGAGATATTAATCATTTTAAGGTGGATGGTGACTGGAACTTAATCTGGAATTTGAAAGTGCCTATGTAGAGGATATCCTGTCCAGCATATTCTGTTTTATGTGAGGAGTCTTTGGAGAATTATTTCCATTTATTTCACCTACTCAAGCAAAATATCAGTTTGGGCGCTATTGTTCTTTGGTCTTGGATGGGTACTATTATAACAGAAGTTGATTCTTTTAAAGACATGGTCTTTAAATTGCGTGGCTTATTGAATGATAACAATAGTTTTGCAATAACCCTGTGGTGTCTTTGGAATAGAAGGAATTCTAAATGCTGGAATTCGGTGATAGAGCATGATGTGGGGGTAATTAATAGAGCTGAATTAGTTTTGGATGATTGGCGGTTGATCTAGCTCAATCTTTGGAGGAGGGGTTGATGTGATTTGGTTTAGGGTTTGCTGGAGTGGAATACTGATGCAACATTCTTCAAGGAATATGCATGATAAGATTTGGTTACTGTTTAAGGAATGATTTGGGTGAGTTCATATCGGCTAAGAGAGGTTGGATTAATTCTTTTATAAATGTCCAGGAGGGTGAATTATTATTAGGATACAAACAAGTCCTACATCGATAAAATATGATAAAAAATAATAACTTATAGCATAAACATACTTCAATGATTGAGAGGCCTTTTGGGTGATGACCAAAAGCAAAACCGTGAGGACTAAGACCCAAAGCGGACAATATCTCATCATTGTGGAGTATGCTTGTGTAATAACCTTATAAAATAAAACAACCCTCATAAAATATCCCCTCAAACGAATACCATAAAAATAACCCCATCAAATCTTATGTGTCACTAATGGTTGATCTTGGCTTTTATTCAGTGATTTTTAAATCTGATTGCAAGGTACTGGTTGTTCATATCCTAGTAATCAATGATTGAGAGGCCTTTTGGGTGATGACCAAACATCTCTATCTTCCGATCTCTGCTAGCTTTCTTGGCCGTGCCTGCTTCAAAGTCAATGGCTACCAAATGGTCACTAGTAGCAAAATTGATGCACAAGGGAGTGATATCATGCCAAGAGAACCAAGAGAATTCCAATGAGTTGAAGAGTGTGGAAGCATCTTTAAGCCACCTACAAAGTGAAGGTAGTAACGTTGCAAAGATGCAGGTTGCACATGAAAGATTGGAAGCATTGGAGAATGCCATTCAAAGAATAGAAAATGGATTGGAGAGTGTATTCAGGTGCATGGTTAAAACGAGAGCCTGCCTTCTGAACATCATGACTCAATAGAAATTATTAGTCATGGTTTTCTATCCAAATCCTTCAGAGCATCCAAAATTTAGGGATCTGCTGTGGATTGGAAAATTTTGACCCATCAATTTGTACATTATACAATTCAATAGTTATGGAATCAAATACAATGAAATATGTTTATACTGATATATTTTTGTTTTAAGTCACTTTTTTCCTTGAGAAAATCTTATTTTACATTTATCGTGTTTCTCTGGATAAACATTATAGTTACTTGATAGGAAATATGCGAGTAAAAACACTAGGGTATCATGTTAAGGCATTAAAGTTTATGGGTCCTAACTCAACTTGTGGATGTCTTCCCAGTGTGAGACTACTTCACTCACAATTGTCACTCCAACATTTGTTATTTGGCTACCAATTGTCTTTGGTTTAAACATGAATTATTATATGATTCTGAATTAATGTTTAGAAATTGGAGATCCTGAATATTGCTTCGCTGAAAATTGTCCTCATCCTATTCAGAGCATATGACAGTTCATGATCTGATGTGTCCAAGAACCAAAACTAGGGATTCAGTTCTAATTCATCATTCATGCTTTGAGGTCCCAACAAGTGTCGGAGAAGATCTTGGCTGTAGCTCTCTTTGATTCATCTTATGTAGATCAGCAGCTATGGAATCACAATCATAAGGCCTCTATTTGGTCAAATCCGGATATAAGTTGTTTTTGGAGATATTAATCATTTTAAGGTGGATGGTGACTGGAACTTAATCTGGAATTTGAAAGTGCCTATGTAGAGGATATCCTGTCCAGCATATTCTGTTTTATGTGAGGAGTCTTTGGAGAATTATTTCCATTTATTTCACCTACTCAAGCAAAATATCAGTTTGGGCGCTATTGTTCTTTGGTCTTGGATGGGTACTATTATAACAGAAGTTGATTCTTTTAAAGACATGGTCTTTAAATTGCGTGGCTTATTGAATGATAACAATAGTTTTGCAATAACCCTGTGGTGTCTTTGGAATAGAAGGAATTCTAAATGCTGGAATTCGGTGATAGAGCATGATGTGGGGGTAATTAATAGAGCTGAATTAGTTTTGGATGATTGGCGGTTGATCTAGCTCAATCTTTGGAGGAGGGGTTGATGTGATTTGGTTTAGGGTTTGCTGGAGTGGAATACTGATGCAACATTCTTCAAGGAATATGCATGATAAGATTTGGTTACTGTTTAAGGAATGATTTGGGTGAGTTCATATCGGCTAAGAGAGGTTGGATTAATTCTTTTATAAATGTCCAGGAGGGTGAATTATTATTAGGATACAAACAAGTCCTACATCGATAAAATATGATAAAAAATAATAACTTATAGCATAAACATACTTCAATGATTGAGAGGCCTTTTGGGTGATGACCAAAAGCAAAACCGTGAGGACTAAGACCCAAAGCGGATAATATCTCATCATTGTGGAGTATGCTTGTGTAATAATATATAATAAAATATTATATAATTTTTAATTTTTTTAAAAATCTGTAAATTTAATTTATATATTAAATTTCTTTAATTTAATTATTTAATCGTTAAAATTTAACATACACTATCATTATTGAATCATTATTGAGTAGGATAGTTTTATCAAAAATAATTAGTCTTTTATCCCTCCTCAATATATAAACAAGCCATTATATATGATTTAATGAATTTCTAGATCTTCAAATCCACGCACAAGCAAATAAACTTCCACTGTTGCATGTCAGTTATGAAGAAATTGTTGAAACATGAAACCATCCATGTTAAGAGAGCACTCATGACAATCTTGTACAAGTATATTCATCATTTACTGTTCATGCCTATAAAACTTTTATTATAGATACTAAGTAGTAAATAAGCTATTAAATCTTAAATAGCCATTTAAAGGCAGTCCAAACTTCAGTAGCACAGCACATTAAATTTTGACCATTTTATATATATGTTCGAATGTCCATGTGACTTAGATTCATAATTGTTTTTAATATAAAAATCTACAAACATGTCATACATTATTTAAAATTAGCTGAAAATGTAAAAAAACTTTATACCTTAGCTAGCTAGCTATATTTGTTATTTATTGTTGAGAAATGAGAAGAGTCATGTTCTAAACAAGATGGAAAATATAGAGCATAATTCAATTAGTCTTTTTATACCTTCAATTAGGTAAAATATTATTGGATATAAATTAATTGTGAATGATCATGTTTGATTAATTATGGTAATACATTTCATTTCTATCTTCCCTTTTCCTCTCCAAATGTTCTCCCCTAAAAAAAAAAAAAAAAACTCTTTTGTGGATTTCACAGGCAATATCTGGAATAAAAACAGTATAAAAGGCCAGATAATAAAGAAGTCCTATATATGTTAAAAGTTTGTAGTTATTTATGGTGTTCTTTTTTGGGTCCCAGTGACTGTTGAGCGTGCAAATTGAATATAATATGAAAAGATTTAGTTTTTAAATTCCCTCGTTGAAAACATGCATGCAAGTTAATTGAGGCAAATTAAAAGAGGGTTCATCCTCGAACCTTCTTCTCAATTATAATTATTTTAGCATTTCTCTAGTAAGAACACTGAGACAGGTATACGCGTGAATGGTACTAGTTGTACTTTCTATACAAATTTGTTCAAAAAGTATTACCTTTGTTTCGTAGAACGTACAGTAGATCCATAATATATATATATATATATATATATAGATGAGAATTCAAATAATATCAGTGTAATTTTTATTAAGTATTACACTGTTTAATAATATTTTATATTAAATGTAAATTTTATAAATTCAACCGTCAAATTATAACTTTATATTACTTTATAAATATTTATATCAAATTTTGTTAAAATTAAATAATAACTTAAAAGTAATCAAAATATTTATATTTTAAAATGTATATATTAAGTCAATTTTATTTTATAAAAATAAAGTATCAAATCATCTTGAAATAATATAAAATTTTGTATATAAGACTTAAATATAAAGAATTTTCAACCTAACAGTTGAATTTATAAAATTTACATTTAATATAAAATTATTGAGCGATATAATATTTA